AGTATGGGAGACGGAACTCAGGGCTTTGCTCATGCTAGGCAAGCGCTCTAGCACTGCACTACATCCTCAGTCCCCCAGAAACTATAAAAAAAAAATAGCTTGTGTGCCCTGGAAATACAGGATGAGCAGGACAGCCTTCCCCTTATCAGCACATCACACACATGAATAGGTAAGTTCCAGAAGCAGGTCACTCAATGTGCTAGAAGTATATATGGGCACCCAGGGGCTGGAAGAGTGGCTTCTGGATTCAGTCATTGCCATGGCTGCTGATATCCTTTGCTCTGCATCAACCTAGTCACTGGGGAGTATTTGATATCTTATATACTGTGCAGGATGCTACCCTCCAGCTAGGCAGATGTAGAGTGAAGGGCAGTGTCTTGCTCCATGGGAACTGTGCTGGTCACGTATGGACAAGAGGGAAAGGGCTAGAGAGGGAGTAAGCCACGTGTCAAGCTCTCACTTCTGACCAGCACATAATTGGTTCCCTCTCCTTCAGCATCAGAGCCTCACAGTGGGGCATTATTGTTGGGCTTACAATCAGGAAACACAGGGGCAGTCTGACTCCCCTCCGTGTTTATTTAGCCTGTAGGAGTCTTGTTTTCTCCATCTATATAGGGAAATTCATAGCATTTATGTTGTGGGATTGTTTGGGGGAACTCGATAAAATAATAGAAAGTGTGTAAACTGCTCTGCTCAGTGCCTAACATATGGTCAGGACTAATACATGGTATTTATTTTTCTTAACAAAATCATTGATTGTTGGACCCCCATGTGTGCCCAGATGGGGTTCTTCCTTTGGTCATCAGTGCCAATGTCCTCTGCCCTCTGCTTCAGTTCTGTGGAGGAATGTAAGTCCTGCTGGCCAAGATTCAGGACAGTGCTTTTCAACCTAAGCCCATCCTTTGGAGCTCAGGCTGGTTCCATCAAAGCCCTCAGGAAATCCTGGTTTCCTCCCCTTCCTCCTCCAGCTTGTCACTCCCAGCCCTACCGAAATGTATTGTTTGCGGTGGAGAGTCTTCAGCAGGCATTCTCAAGGGGTCTTGTTAGAATGTGTGTGTGTGTGTGTGCCACATTCTACCTTAGACCTGAAAAACCATAATTTTTTTCTGGCAGGGCATTCTGCCCGATATGACATATGGGCCCGATTAATTGTCTTTGCAGCTGTTTCTACTCGGCATCAGCTCTCTCAACATAGCACAAAAACCTCCAGCAAAAATTAATAGTCGGGCTGGGAAGGTGGCTCAGTGGTAGAGCGCTTGCCTTTCATGCATGAGGCCCTGGGTTCGATTCCTCAGCAAAAAGAAAAAAGCCGGAAGTGGTGCTGTGGCTCAAGTGGTAGAGCGCTAGCCTTGAGCTGAAGAGCTGAGGGACAGCACCCAGGCCCAGAGTTCAGGACCCACAACCGGACCCCCCCCCCCCCAAAAAAAAAAAATTAATAGTGTCCGTGGAGCTTTTCCAAGTCCACAGATACTGCCCCTGTGTGACAGATGATTAGGAACCTAGGCTAGGAGGAAGAGTTCAGTGTGGAAAGCAGCTCTGGCTCCGTATATAGCCCTGGACATGATGCACCTGAGGTACTAGACAAAAGGCAGCTCGTGTTCTTCTCAACAGTCCCTTGTGCTGGCTGCAAGGTTCTGAGTTCCTTGAAAGGCCTGTTTCCTTTTTAGGGGAAGAGATTCCAAAACTGGGAATTAAGAAGCCAGTTGGCTGCTTGGAAAGCATGTAGGAAATGTGACAAGCGTCGACATACACAGGCTAGTAGCAAGATTTTAAGAAGGGGAAGCACTGTGGACAGCGTTCATCTCCTCATCCACCCATGGCCTCTTAAATAAGGAGAGCATTGTGTTCTGAACTGGCATGGAGATGAGAAGTAGTGGTCTCCCAGGACCCTGTCAATTAGTTTTATGAACAACAATGTGAATCTCGGATGGCTCCAGGCTTTGAGGTCTGCTACTTTTTACACTCATACTTCGGGTTTGGGGCTCCTGGAATTGTGCAAAAATTGAATATAATCAAAGAGATTTGAGGAGAAGATAGGAAACAAAGGACTCAAGAGAGGGAGAAAATTCTGCCTTCTTAGCCTTCAGGACGCTCAGTATTCCATGAAGGGGCTATCCTTAGGTGAAAGCTGGGAGGGAAGGAGACTAAAGTCAATGAGACATCTGTGAAACACATAGCAAGAGCAGCAATTGCCCTCACTAGTGCAGGCTGGAGACATCAGCTGTGGTTGAAGGTGAGGGTCAAGGTCATTCAAGAGTCCTCAGTGCCCACCTAGACCTGAGTATGCATCTAGAGAGGTAGTCTCTTCAGTTCTTAGAATTCCAGCTTAGATAACTACATAAGGCCTTTATGGTTTAATGGGCCCTTAAATATGACAACTTGTCTTTAGGTCTAATATCTATCCTGTTGGCATTTCCTGTCCTCCTGGGTTTTGTGGTGAATCTGCCTGCTGCTCATTTGAAAAGTGCAGAGAGCACCGTATAAGCTGGCATCGTGACGGAAAACCCATCTACGGCATCAAGCACAGGTGGGAAAGCTTACCATTTCCCAGAGGAAAAACATGCCCTCTTCCTTGGAGAGCATCTTCCCTTTACTGAACGATGTGTGTGAATATGGGGTGGCATCCAGCTTTAAAAGGAAAAACAAAAAAAAAAAATCAACAAACATCACTGGGTAAATTTGTAGGGTGCAGTGTGCATACAAACAGGGTAGTTAATTTTTCACCTGCTTAAATATTTTAAAAAGTCATTTGACTAGCTGGTCATAACTACATTTATGGAGTTGGAGACAACATGTACTAATCAATTCAGGGTAATTAATGTTTCCATCTTTATGTTTGGAGCCAGGGAGCTTCCTTTTCTTGTATTATTCAAAAACAACAACAACTATGTGTCTGCGTTTCAGCAAAGACATACTGGTTCTCAGAGGGTCGGTGGGGAGGCCAGCCGCGTGGCAGCATCGGGGCCTCCCTGCCTGAGATCTGCCCCAGCGTGGGCTGTGGTCTTGTCTTGCCCGCTAGCTCTTCCTGATGTGACTTTATTAGATAAAGTTCTGCGATCGCCAGAGGTCGAAACACAACAGTAGCTGCTTTGCGAAGATTTCTGCCACATGAAATCAAACAACAGATCAACTTAAAATCTGGGTTCTTCCTTCCTCAGCTTAGATCCAAACTTGCCCGGAGAAAGGAGAAAGGTGGAGCAGAGGACCGGCACCCAGTCAGCGGGTCGCTTCCCGGCCGTGGCAGCCGGCGGCCAGCAGGTGTCAGTGCGCCCTCGTTCTGCCGCGGCGCCCCGCCCGGGTCTCCGGGACCCCTCCCCACGTCCGTCCGGGAGGGGGCGGGGTGCGGCCAGACCCTAGGCTGCCCACGTCCCGCAGACAGGGCTGCTGCTGGGATGACAGGTGACTGTCTCGTACCAAGTCTGAACCCTGACCTGGCCCGCGGGCGCGTGGCTGCTGCCCATTCCGCTCCAGGGGGTCCGATCGGAACGCGCTCCTTCCTTCCCCGCCAGGCTTTCCCTCCCCCCGCCCCACTCTGGCCGCCACAAGCACTTGCGGCCAAGTCCAGGGCTGGGCCGCTCCAAACCGGATGCCACCGGTACCCAAGGCTACTCCCCTTAACCTGGGTCAGCGATCCCGGCCGGCCACACTTTCCTTCCAGGACCCAGCTCCATGTGGGCGCGCCTAGGTGTCCGCCGCGATCTGCCGGGCCGGCCCGGCGCGGCCGGACCCACTCCCAGCAGGGGCCGCTCCCCAGCTCCAGGCTCGCTCCCCGATCCCCTGGATCTAGACGCCCGCCTCTCCGGAGGGCCGGTCCAGCCTGCAGGGCTGCGCAGCGCTGCGCTCCCCGGGGTCCGGCGCGGGGCGGGCGCGGGTGCTGGACCCGCCGAGGGGAGGCGCGAGGGGCGGAGGAGGGTCGGCTTCCCACGTGGGGGCTGACGCCGGCTGCTCGGCAACGCCGGCTTGATCCCGGGGCTATAAAACCAGTCCACCGTAGCCAGGCGGAGCAAGCAGCGGCTCCCGCTCCGGTGCAGACGCCCCGCCGCTGGCGCGCGCCGCCTGACCAACCTTGCGCTTTCTCCTCCCCGGGTCCCTGCGCTCCGGCTTAAAGCTCACTCACGCGGACCTCGGACCCCAGGCCCACCCGGCCCGGGGCGCCCGCTGCCCACGGAGCCCACGCTCAGGAGACACCCCGCCTGCCCGCGGCCCCGCGGCTCGGGGAAGGCTGATCATTGCTTCACCTGGCCCGGCTCGCTCGAGGACGGCGACACCTTCATGCGGCCCCCACACGTCTCCCCCAGCCGCCGCCCCGGAGCTCCGCGCGCCGCCGCCGCCGCGCCCCAGCCCCAGCCCCAGCCCGGCGCGCAACTTTGGAAGTCCCGGGGCGCTCGGGGTGGCGGCAGAGCCCGCGCCTTGGCCCCAAGTCGGGCCCAGCCCGCACCGCCGCGCTTAGGGGAAGCCGAGATCGTCCGGAGGATTTAAGGAGATAGACTTAGGACCCCCTCCGTTTCCCCCCCGCCGCCAGCCCGAGCGCTCAGCAACCCCCTTCGGCTCCTGCCTGGGGTGGGGGCGGGCCTCGCACACGGTAAGACTTCTTGCTTGCGCTCCGGCCCTGGAGTCGAGCTGTGTGTGTGTGTGTGTGTGTGTGTGTGTGTGTGTGTGTGTGTGTGTGCATACATGCATATTTATATATAAATATGTACATTTCCTGTCATCCTCCCAAGTCATCATCTTCTGGAAGAATCCATCTCTAACCCCCCGCTCGCCTTGCTCTCTCTCTCTCTCTCTCTCCTGCCGCTTAGAAAACTTGGCTGTGTTTAGGAGCTGGGATCCCGAAGGCGCCCACTCCGCGGGTCCGAGGCGCGGGCCGGCGCCCTTCGCGGGATCCGGGTCCATGGGCCACTAGCGCCCCGCTTCCCGCACCCCCCCACTCGCCATCCCCTCACCCCAGCCCGGGCCCCGTCTCCCCGCGGGCGGGCCCCCTCCGCATGTGAGGCGCGGCGGGGCGCAGGAGGAAGAAGGAGGACTCCGGGGCGCCGGGCCGGAAGGCAACTGGCAGCAGGCCCAGGCGAGCGGGCGCCCGCGTCGCGTTCATGTTCCGCCAGGAGCAGCCGCTGGCCGAGGGCAGCTTTGCGCCCATGGGCTCCCTGAAGCCGGACTCGGGCAACGCGAGCTGGAACGAGAGCGAGGCCCCGGGGGGCGGCGCCCGGGCCACCCCGTACTCCCTGCAGGTGACGCTCACGCTGGTGTGCCTGGCCGGCCTGCTCATGCTGCTCACCGTGTTCGGCAACGTGCTCGTCATCATCGCCGTGTTCACCAGCCGCGCGCTCAAGGCTCCCCAGAACCTCTTCCTGGTGTCCCTGGCCTCCGCGGACATCCTGGTGGCCACGCTCGTCATTCCCTTCTCGCTGGCCAACGAGGTGATGGGCTACTGGTACTTTGGCAAAGTGTGGTGCGAGATCTACCTGGCGCTGGACGTCCTCTTCTGCACGTCGTCCATCGTGCATCTGTGCGCCATCAGCCTGGACCGCTACTGGTCCATCACCCAGGCCATCGAGTACAACCTGAAGCGCACGCCGCGCCGCATCAAGGCCATCATCGTCACCGTCTGGGTCATCTCGGCCGTCATCTCCTTCCCGCCGCTCATCTCCTTCGAGAAGAAGCCGGACGCCCAGTCGAGCGAGCCCCGCTGCAAGATCAACGACCAGAAGTGGTATGTCATCTCGTCCTGCATCGGCTCCTTCTTCGCGCCCTGCCTCATCATGATCCTGGTCTACGTGCGCATCTACCAGATCGCCAAGCGCCGCACCCGCGTGCCGCCCAGCCGCCGGGGCCCCGACGCCACCGCCGCCGCCGCCGCCCTGCCGCCCGGGGGCGCCGAGCGCAGGCCCAACGGCCTGGGCCCCGAGCGCGGCGCGGACCCCGCGGGCGCCGAGGCCGAGCCGCTGCCCACCCAGCTCAACGGCGCCCCGGGGGACCTCGCGCCCGCCGGGCCGCGCGACGCCGCCGCCACCACCGCCGAGGCGCTGGACCTGGAGGAGAGCTCGTCGTCCGAGCACGCCGAGCGGCCCCCGGGACCCCGCAGACCCGAGCGTGGCGGCTCCCGGGCCAAGGGCAAGACCCGGGCCGGCCAGGTGAAGCCTGGGGACAGCCTGCCGCGGCGCCCGACAGCCGCCGGGGCGACGGGGCCCGGGGTTCCCGGGGCCGGGCCGGGGGAGGAGCGCGGCGGGGGCGCCAAGGCTTCGCGCTGGCGCGGGCGGCAGAACCGCGAGAAGCGCTTCACGTTCGTGCTGGCCGTGGTCATCGGCGTGTTCGTGGTGTGCTGGTTCCCCTTCTTCTTCACCTACACGCTCACGGCGGTCGGCTGCGCCGTGCCCGGCACGCTCTTCAATTTCTTCTTCTGGTTCGGCTACTGCAACAGCTCGCTGAACCCGGTCATCTACACCATTTTCAACCACGACTTCCGCCGAGCCTTCAAGAAGATCCTCTGCAGGGGGGACAGAAAGCGGATCGTGTGAGCCTGCCACGCGCGCACGCCTGCGCGCGCGCGCGGGCCTGGCTCACGGACTCCTGCAGGTGGCGGGCCTGGGGCGCGGAGGGAGGCGGCGGCCGGCCGTGCGCGCAGCCCCGGCCCCACTCCCAACCCAGGACCTGGCCTGGACGGTGGCGGTGCTCAGCGTGCTTCTGAGAGCTCCCACAAGGGAATGGTTGTTATGGTCGTTCATGACCGGGGAGCCATTTTCCTGGTGGGCCCACCCCTTAACAGTATTGTTTGCTTAAAGGTATTTCCCACCCTGGTCCCTCCTTCGAGAGGGAGGGGTTGCGGGGGGGGGGCAATGTCTCCTTTCCCCATTCAATTCAGCCAACTCCACCGCTCAGGGCAGCCCTGCCCTCCCTTCCCCACCCTCAGCTGTACATAGACACACACTGTTTTTGGACAGCACACCCTGGACCCTCCCAGCGTTTACATGGCCTGCGCTGTGAAGTTGGAATCCTTTTCTGGGAAGGACCAGGGGCCTGATCAGGAGACGCAAGCTCTTTTCTAGTATGACAATACCCCCTCTGGTGAGGACAGTTCCTTGGACACAAACCTGCTTTGAGATTTCCTGACACGGAAAAAGATTTCTGTCCTTTTTTTTCCCTTCCCCCCACCTGTGCCTAACAGCATAATTGCCTTGTCCTATGTAAATACTTCAGCGATGGCCCAAGACAGAAGTCAATGAACCTTTCCGCCTTGCATCAGTCCTGTGTATAAAGCCATTATCCTCTGAGGCACCGTTTGCCCCAGTAACTCACTTAAAAACTCGTTCTTTCCGGTGCCCCTCCCTGTCTTAGGGGCCGCTGCTTGAAGAAGACTCTGTATGTTTCTGTCCTGTATGTGTGTGCCCCTCCCCCTCCCCCCAGCCTCCAAAGCCCTGACTAAGGGGAAATCGTTGAGCTGCTGTTTTTAGACACAGAGGAGTGGAAATTAGGTGGAAGCAACAGACCCAATACAATTTGCCCAAGGTAAACAGTTTGAAAAGACAAATGAGCCTGCCAAACTGTCCAGCTCCAAGCCCCAAGAGCTCTTAGGTATCAAAGTATTGCCCACCCTCTCCCCCCCCCCCCCCCTTGCTTTTCTGGCTGAGAACACATCACTAATGAACGGCCAAAGCCAGGGGCGAAGCTGGAGACCTTGTGTTTACAACCCGGTTTCTACGTGTTCTGGACAGAGACAGTGGGAGTCCAGCACTCTGATTTCACTCAAGAAAAAGTAATGTCAGCACATGCTGCTCACGACAGTGGATTTTTTTTTTAAAAAAAATAAAGTTTACAGATCAAATGTGAAATAAATATGAATTAAGTGGTCCTCCTGTCTGTTATCTGAGTTTTCAAAAGCTTTAAGACTGGGAACATCTGATTTTTTTTATATATATATTGTAAAAATATGTTTAAGTGCATGAGCAATAACAAAATCATTGCTTGTTAAATGTTCCTTACATGCTAGACACTGTAGGGACCCTGGTACAGGTATTGCCTGTTACAAGCCTCTAGTTTTTAAGAACCCCATGAGGTAAACCCTAGTGTAAACCCCCACTTCACAGATGAAGAAACTGAGGCTCACAGAACAAGCCATTACTCAAGGTTCATAAACCTGTGCATCTCATTGAAGGGTCTGTGTCCCCTCCCTTCCTCTCCCTTCCCACCCCCTCCCTTCTCCTCTGCTCTCTTCTCTTCTCCTCTGCTCTCTTCTCTTCTCCTCTCTCCTCTCCTTCCCATGTCTCTCTCTTCCTTCCTTCCTTCCTTCTTTCTCTTTCTCCTTGTGTGCTGGTACTGAGGCTCAACTTTTTCTGCTTGAAGGCTGGCAATCTACCATTTGAGTCATACCTCCACTTCTGGCTTTTTGCTGTTTAATTGGAAATAAGAGTCTCATGGACTTGCTGCCAAGGCTGACTTTGAACTTCAATCCTCAGATCTTGGCTTCCTGAGTAGCTGGGATTATAAGCATGAGCCACCAGCACGTGGTATAGGTCTGTGTTCTTAACCCCGGAGAGAACTTTTTTCAGAGTTCCATCTTATACCTGCAAGTGTGAGCTACATCTGTGTAGATACATACCATGTGCATATCTCCAAAGAGTATGTGTGCCCTAACATATGTACATACCTCTGTTGTGCTCCAAGTGCAAATGTATATGTGCAAAAGTCTGGAATATACTCCAAATGTGCATCATGCCTTCAGGTGTGATAATAGACAGCATGCGGTGTGCTCTTCGATGGGATGGGATAAATACCTAAATAGAATCATGTATTAGTTGGTAGCTCGAGTGTTCTCTGGCCAAAGGCGTGTGTCCTTCTTGTTACCTGTCCGTATTGTCTAAGTCTGCTGGACTGTCTCAGGTCACAAGATGATGGTACTTCAAATCGGGAAGGTCTGGTAATCCAACTTCTCATCTGGAAGATGAGGAGACAGGTGTGGAGAAAGTAGCTTGCTTGGGACCCTACACTTCTGGGTGATGGGGCCCTGGCCTCGGGCTGCCTTGAGTAAGAAGCTATTCACCATGTGTATGACTGAGAGGAAGGCCAGCCCAAGCAGCTGGGGACAGAGTTACTTGTTCAGGAGCTGGGTTTGAGGAGCAAGCACAACCTGCTGGTCATCCTTGTTCAGGAGGCTTCCCAAAGTAGCTTCCTGGCTTGTGGTGCCAATATTCACTCCCTGATAGAAGGCTGAGGCCTGCTCTCCAAGCCCTCACCCGCAGGGCACCTAATGTCCCAAAGGTAAATAGTGTCAGATAATAGGCCCACCTTGCTGAGCCTTCAAGGGGCTGGCTGTTTTGCCATCTCCTGGAGAAGTATTTGGTGTATCTTTACCTGCCTGGAAAAGGGGTGTGTGTGGATTATGGTGCTAAATGAAGGGGACATCTACTATCACAGCTTCCTCTATCCAGTACAGAAGAGGAAAGGAGTCTCAGAGATGGATGGAGCCCAGGGAAGGTGCAGAACTAGGACTGGACCCCAGTGAGACTCCAGCAAAGGAGCCTCAAGCAGTGTCTGTGTCCAAGCCAGACTGTAAAGCTGTGGCCAGAGAAGGGGAACAAGAGAAATGGCTCCTAAAGGATCTTAGCATAACAAGCTAACAGGGTAAGGGACTGTAACCCCACACCTTCCTGTCCATAGCCCCCAGTCCCATTGTCAGGCTCCACCGTGTATCTGAGGTTAGGGTCTGTAGTGTGTCTTACCAAGTCTATTCCTGCAAATGTAATCAATGGCTTCATTCTGGACACATGCACAGCTGCTTCTGTGCTCAGGGGTTGGCTAGGAACATGACTTAGGCTTTCCCCTCTATCTGATTCTGTAATTGAAGAGGAGAACCAGAATTGACCTTAGCCTCCTGCATTCCCACATTGCATTGATGAGGGCCCAGAAATCCAGGAGAGCTGCCTAGTTGTGTACCATCCCAGTGCTCTTTAACCCCCTCCTCTTCAACATGCTACCCTGCATGGTGAATTGTTTGCTTAGGTGATGCTGTTAAGCCCTGGGGTACCCCGTGTGTCCAACCCCATGCTCGGCACTTTGAAGCCATTCTTTCTCTTCCTCTCCTGCATGCTGTTTGGGAGTCAGAGAGACTAGGACTTGGCTTGTCCTCTGGCAGCTGTGGAATGGCAGGAGGAGACAAGCTGTGCCTATGCGATGCATTAGGTAGCCCTGAACAGGGACAGCATGGCAGGGACACAGACATCGTGCCTGCTGGGAGCAGTGGGCACTGATGCATGCTCCGAGGGTGCGGAGGGAACAGGAGACGATAACTGGGTGTGAAGGAGGTAGGACTTGTGCTGCCTAGACTTTGGCCAAGGGGGCAGGGCAGCAAGCTCTGCTTCCAGTACTTGAGCTATGAAACCAGTGCCAGGCACTGAGTGACACCCAGGCCCAGGCCAGACGTCAGATTTCATTTCTCCAGCTTGCCCCTTAGTAATGTCATGGCAAGCGTCTATTCCCAGCAGCAGAACAGGATCCAGGTCCATAGACCCCTCTCAGAATAGTCCAGAGTGTCTGGGAGCAGGGAAGGGCACCTTCCCCAGCGGAAGGAGGGCATTCCTGTGGTGGTGGGGGTGGGGCCGAGTGAAGTCATCCAGTGCAATCACAAACACTAGGCTTTGTTGTGGAAACAACATCGATCTCTTTGATCGCTAGAAATCAAACTACAGTTTGATGCAGAAAAGGGAAAGAGGACAGTTGAACAGAGGGCAGACAAGGAGTTAGGAGGCCTGGGTTCTACTGGATTTGCCTTTGACCAACTGGGTGACCCTGAGCAGATCTGTCTGAGGCCATTTCTTCATTTATAAAATGAAACCATTGTCCAGGTGTTATTTAGAAGTGTGTTTCATGGAGTTAATCTAACCACAAAAATCTATCTATGCACCATCTGTCTACCTACCTATCCACCTTCTTACCTTGTCCACCACGGGCCAGCAACTTATCATCAGTTAACTGGTGACCTTTAGCCTTGCTTCAGGATTTCTCAGAGGCCTGGTTTGTGAGTCTCCATCTCCTGGCGTGCTGTGTTCCCCCGGACTGTAGAACTGTCTCTTACTGAGCATGACAGTGAATCATGTTGTTGGAACACGGGTGGAACTATCATGGACTAAGGAAACTCATGGAGTTTTTTCTGTCCATCTGTTTTAAGATGACACAAAATGCCAGGTAAGGCATGGGTAGGGCCCTGTTCTCTCTGAGAAAAGCTGGCTCTGGGCACCATTGGGTCACTGAGGATTGGGGTTTAAGTGATTGTTGGGGTGTGATTTTCAGATAAGGGCTGAGCCTTCCTGTTGTATGTATACACGTGACTGTGCATGGCTTTCTATGTGCACACAGCTGTCAACCTGTGCATATGTCTGTGTATGTATATATGAACAGCTACATCCTGATTCCTGTGCACACCCAAGACCACCTTACTTATCAGGACCTGGAGTGAGAGCAACTGGGGGTATGGAGGGTAGATGTACACATGGCCAGGGAGGGTATGTGTGCAATGTTGTCTCCCTCATTCTAACTGAGATGAGCCCCTCCTCAATGTGGGAGCTGGCCACCGCCAGGGGAGCAGGGTGGTAGTGCAGAACTAGATTAGGAGGGTGGAATGTGGACCTTTTGGAGAGACTAACTGTGGTTCTCTGTAAGCATCTTCTGTAGCATCCAGGTTGTCTTGTTCTCTGAGGAGGGACTGAAGCCAGGAGGGAGAGGCTAAGGCTCTTTCCAGAATCATCAAGGCCAAGAACTTGAGATCGGTTTGCAATCCACATTGGAATCAAACAAGATGGTGCTCAGAGAAGGGGTGAGTGGAAGGAGGTTGACAAAGGACTATTTCCAAGGTGTAGGCAGAGTAAAGAGAGACTTCTAAGAAACAGGGAAAGACCTGGGGACTTAACACGCAGGATGCTGCCAGCACCCAGGATAAGGGAAGGGAGCTGCCTCCAGATCATCAGAATGTGGCTGCAGAGAGGCACAGGAAGGCACTGCTGTGGGAGACTCCTGTGTCCTGGCAGGGAGAGGATCAGGGAGTCTGCACCTTGCCCACTTCTGCACCCTGAACTGCTGGTGTTTGCTCCCAGCCAGGGAGTCAATGAAAGATCAGGTTACAGGCTCAGTCTTCCAGAGTCTAGCCAGGTGTCCCAGTGCAGGGACTAAATGCAACAGCCAGTGTAGGACTTTGGAGGCCAGGCTTGGAATCAGGAGATCTGAGAAGCCCCCCAGCTGGTCTTGCCCTGCTGGATCCCATGTCAGGCATGTCCAAGTCCCTTGATGTCATGTGTTGAAGGACTTCAGGGGACCTGCGCCAGGATCCATTTTGTCTGCTTTGTCTTCATCTATGACGAGACCCTCACAGCAGCAAACTGATTACTTAAGGCCATGCCTTTTTCTACCCTTGGATGCACTACATCCCTGACCCTTTCTCTTCCAACATTTGCTTGAATGGGGTGGAGCTCACGCTCCTAGAAGTTCCCAGGTGTGCTAGGAAGTGGGGACAGATCAGGGTGTAGAGGGAATGGCCAGTATTCCTAAGAAGAGCAGTTTAAAGCTAAGCTTCAGAATCAGTAAAACTTGGGTTAAAAATCCTGGTTCTCCCACCTACCTTTGCTTTTTAACTACAAATAGGTGGCTGAGCCTCAGTTTTCCCAGGTGTAACTTGGACAAGAAGTTCCTGGTGTTTGAGTGCATTGCGCAGACCTGTGCTTGGCGTCTGTAGGCTTGCTAACCTTTACTTCTCCATTTTGGGAGCTGGCAGGCCTTTTGGCTGAGGAGGCTGCTGTGGGTTGAGTGGGCAGGGCTGGCTGGTTCGCTCTGATAGCTAGCATTTAGGATGATTCATGACATCTG